CCGCTCGAGCGGAGTATTGGCGCTCGAGCGGAGACTGGATGACACGCTCGAGCGGGGACCCTTGTTTGCCTGTTACGCTCGAGCGATCTCTCTCGTGATGCAGAAAGGATGTAAGAGAATTATGCAATTCTCAATACGTCTCGCTCGGAGGATACAATACCTGTGCAGCTCGTCTGGTTGCACCAGCTTCAAATGAACCGTACATACAATATCGTGCCTGAAAAGAAAGCAAACATAAGCCTTGAAAACATGTAGGAAATGATGCCAAATTAACCTACCAATGCAAGCTATGCATGCAACCAACCCCAAGGACCTAAAACATGACCATATGACTCATGAAGTAAATGACCAAATTAAATCAAAACAGTCCCAAATCATGCAAAGGTAAGCCTCAAGAACCACTTAGATGGCATCTAAATGACCTAATCCTAGAGGCATACACAATGGCATAAACATGAAGCATGAAACGTCAACTCTTGAAACATCAAAAGGGCCATGAAATGCAAGCATATAAGCATGCTAAATGGACTGGAATGACATGGTGGATAGTTCCAAACCACTAAATCAATGCAAGAATGTCATGCTATACATTCACACACTTAAGGCCAACAAGCCGGAATGCAAAGAGGCCATACAATGCATGCCAAGATCGACCCAAACAACTATGGACAGACCTTAAACATGGCAAAATAAGCATGAAAGATTCACAAGGCTAAGCCTAAAACATGCTAGAATAAGGGTTTACAACCTAAGGCATGTTAAGGCAATAAAGTGGCATTACAAGGTAGGTATGCTAAGCATGCATGGTGTACCAAAACTAAGAAAAAATAGAGGCATATTATGACATAATAAGCACAAAATGCAGCCAAGGCATGGTCAACAAGAAGCCTGGCTAGGTGCTCCCTCAAGAGGCCAAAAATGGTCCTTTTCAAGGACAACAAGGAGAGGGGGTCCCTCTCCTTCTTGGGACTTCAAGGCACCATCCTCACCTCTGAAATCCCTCACGATTTCAATGGTGAGGAGGCCCAAACACCAAGGTCTCGGAGCTCACACAAAATAGCACAAAATGGAGCCTCTCAAGGCTTATGAGGGGTCAAACACCTCCAAACCACAAAACACTCTAAACTAACTATTTAGAGGGCCTAAAAATAGAACTTTTTTTATGTTATACACTAAGCACAAAAACAGTTCTAAGATAGGCAAAATAAGTATGCAAGAATGGGGAATAAAGGGACTAGTTTCTTACCCTTGGAGACCCCTTCAACAATGGTGGACCAGCAGCTTCTTTTAGGTTGAAACCAGCTTCAAAACCTCAAAAATAACTCTCAAGAGGTCTCAGCTCCAAGGGATGGTGTAATGGTGGGTGCTTGTGAGCAAAAGTAAGACAAAACACACACACTAAGGCTAAATGAGAGAGAGGTATAGAGATAGAATATATATCAAACCCTAAACCTAAAATCAGAGCTCTCACAATGTTTTTCTCTCTCAAGTGTCTAACCTAGAGCCAAGAGAGGAGGGCTCCTCTTATAGAGGAGCCAATCTTGTAAAGCTTACAAGGTAAGCTAACAAGGAAGCCATCCCTCCATACACGTGTATGGAGGGGAACAAAATGACATACAGCTGTCTTAAAATATCTGCAAAAGCAGATGAACAGTAGTCGGCTGCTCAAAATTGCCATTTTGACAAAATGGGGTGCCGACCGGCAACAAAGAGTGTCGACCGATGGCAACATATATTGCCGATGGCAACAAAACACCAGCCGGTGGCCTCTGGCCATGGCCGGTGATGTGTGGGGATGCCTCACAAGGCATTCCCTGCCCCTCCAAGGAAAAACACAAGTGTTTGGTACAAAACCAGACACTAAACAGTCGAGTTCGGAGATCCTAAGGCAAGGCGCGTAGCCAAGACCTCCGGGAACTCCAAACGAACACAAACAAGGGTAATCACCAAGTGTTCCAATGGTGATGTCCAAGTCTTGAGGACGGTCAAAAATGGGGTGTCTACACTATCCTATTTAAGTCACATCATCTTATTTAAATCACATCACCTCTCTAACACATCAAATCAAACCCAACCCAAATCCAACCCATATAAGCTAATAAGTCAAAAAATACACTTTTTTAGAATATTCCAAACCAACCTCACTTTTTCATTTTTATGAGAAGACGTGTATAAAAATAGAGATAAAAACTATGTTTAGAAGGATTTTCAAATCCTAATTCCACCCACACATTGTAACATCATATTTGGATAGAGTTTTGTAATTAGTTTTTCACAACAAACACAAAACTCTGCAGAAAACTTTGTAAAGCGCAATTTTCATTTTTTTTTTTTTAAAATTTGGCCTAACCGATCGTCCCACCGGATGTCCTACCGGACGTCCCATCGATCATCCGGCCGGTTGACCAAAATAGGGGAATTTATTATTATTATTATTATTTTTTGACATATGTTAATTTTTATATATTCGAATAAAATATATTCTGAATTTTTTAAATTTTTTTATATGCTTTAACATAATTTTGAGTTGTATGTTTGGTTATGAATTGTAAGTTTTTATATCAAATATCATATGTCACATCAAAAATTCTCCACTCAATTCAAAACTTTCACCAAACAAATTTTTCGTACTCAAATCATAATTTCAGAACTCACAAACTCAAAATACAACCCATACTCTCAAATCATATTTACAAAACTCTACCAAACGCGACCTGATATTTTGGTAATGACTTTTTTACTAGCATAATTTCAAATATTTCAAAAATTGTTTTTTTTTTCATAATTATTTTCTTAAATTGCAATATTTAGCCAAGTTACCATTTGATGATTATGTAACCCTTCCTATGTTTGGTTTTATTTTTAAAATATACTTATTTTTAAATGTTAGAAACTAATTTGGTTACAATAACACACCAAAAATGTTTTTGAAATTTCAAAAATCATCTTCACACTAAAAATATTATGAAAAAAATCATTGTTAAAATTACATTTTGTCCCTTTTATATTTGGTTATTTTCTCACTTTGGTGTTTAAAATTTATTTTTCTCAGTTTGACCATTTATGTTTCAAATTTTTCTCAATTTATTCAAAAAACTAACTTATGTCAATAATTAGACAAAAAATGATGCATTGACAGTCACGTGATATAAAATTATTTTTTCATATAACTCACATTTCCAATACAAATTCAAACTGCAATATAATAACATATTTTTTATTTATTGTTAACATGACATTTTTCTGTCTAATTTTGAACATAAATTAACTTTAAAAGTAAATTAAAAAAAAAAACTTGAAATATGAAGAGCCAAAATAGAGAGGAAAAAAAAAAAGAATCAAAGCAAAATTAAGGAAAAATTAGTGAAACATCTCTCTTTTAACTTTGGATAGTAAGAGAGATCCAATTATTTTTTCTTATTACTTAAGACTCGTTTTGGAACAGGTTTTTTTAGTAACATTTTGGCTAAAATATGATATAAAAAAATTAGTATGTTTGAGATTATTTTTTGATTTTTTATGAAAATATGTGCAAAAAATAAAAAGAAAAGATAATCTTTGACTTTTTTGTATAGATTGTTGGCTTTTTGATTTTTTTACTGACTTTTTAACTTTTAGGCTAAAAAGCGATGTTTCCAAACGAGACCTAAGTAATATTATTAGGGAAATTTTATATTATCACAAAAACTGAAATTTCTTTTTGAAGAATTAAAATTTTTCTGTGAATAACTGAAAATTTGTATGACAATATTGAAGAACCCAAATTACTATAAAAATATTACAAGTCATTTATCATATAAAATCACAATATGTGAAATCTTAAATTAAAAAATCCTAAAGAATAGTAATTTACCGCTTTTAAAAATTATTTTTCATCAAATTAATCTAAGTTGTATTTTTCTTTAATTAAAAAAAATAAAAATAAAAATTGATAGCACTCCTTTTGCATCAACGCTTATTTTGTTTCGCCAAGTACACAGCATGCGGATGGCATTGATTCCTCTCTCTCTCTTTCTCTCGGTCTCTCAAGTAGAGAGAGAGAGAGAGAGCATCAACCATTGCAGAAAGTTGTAAAAAAAATGTTCAAGACGAAGCTCCAGGAGGTGTGCCACAGGAAGAAATGGGGATTGCCGAAGTACTCGTGCATCAAAGACGGAGCAGACCACTATCCTCAGTTCAGAGCTTCAGTCTCCGTCAATGGCCTCTCATTTGATTCACTCACCGCCTCTAATTCCTCCAAACACGCTCTCAACGATGCTGCTAAGCTCGCCTTCCTCCACTTCACTTCTGGTACGTAAATCTATACCATGTATGTATGTATGTATGTATGTATGTATGTATGTATCTCTCTATGTATTTACTCTTCTTATTATTGTATTGCTTTTGCTCTGTTTGTTTGATTGGAAACTGTTTCTGGTAATTTTTACTTTTTGTAAATTTCACTTGAAATTAGTTTACTATAAATATAAGTTACTTTGATCTCTCTTAATATTTGAAGAAAATATAATAAACATTACAAATTTAATATAATTACATTAGAAGTTTTAGGATGTGTTCGGATTATAGATTTTGGTAGGGACGAGTGAAATATAAATAAAATATAACTATATTATGCTCACATTTTTTCTTTCCTTTTTTAAATCCAAAATATATTATCCAAAAACACAACATAAGGTTTTAATTCACATAAAATTTAAATTCATTTTGTAATTCGTTAATTATATAGATGAAAAAAAATGATATTATCATATTTTTAGATTAAAAAATATAGTTTACCTTATTTATGTTTCAGTCTTTATATGATCTGCATTAGTTGCAGTCTCTTTAATTTTATTAAAAAAGATATCAGAGTAATTATGCCGGTGCTTTTTGTATTCTCTCCAAACTTTGAGGAGGTTAATGTAATTTTCTCTATTTGTTTTGTTAACTAAGCTCTTCTTACTCTGCTGTTTTTGCTCTATTTGTTTGAATGGAAAATATTTCCAGCTAATTTTTACTTTTCTAAATTTTTACTTGAAAATTAGCTTATGATAGAAAAAAGGATGTGGGAAATTAGGTCATGCAACAGAACAAGTTTGATTGCCTGAGGGATTGTTTATTTGTCTCATTGATCTTGAAATTCTTTAATTTTGGGTGATGTAGCAATTTAAACCACAGGCTTGTTATGCTTCATACTGGGGTCAGCGCAGGTTATATATATATATATAGATTAGCTAAAGACAGGATTGAATGGAAAAACTTGTGAATGATCAACAAACACTCATCCTAGAATGATTCTATTCTAGTATGGAACAAATGATTTCATTTCTTTGGGATGCCCCAATTCTCCTTTATGTTTGGTAACAAAGGGATTTGTGGTCATTTTTCTTTGTGGAAAATTTAGTTAGAAGCCTATGATGATAATTTAGTTTAAAAGAAGTATGATATTTGTTGGATAAGAACTTTGACATGCCCTGAATATTTTTACTCCCATCATCATTTATAATCCACATACATAATTGAATTGTAGATGCGAAACCCATTGCTGCAGGACCTGAGATTGAAGAAACAGATATGAGTTCTCAGATTCATTCAAATGCTTCAGATGTCAAAGCTGGTAAGTAATTTATCCTGAGATATGTATGACTACATTCACTTGCTAGTCATTTCTGTTGTGCTTTTAATTTTGTTTCAAGGCACTTGGATATATATGACTACATGACGGATCATTTGTTGAAAAATCACTTTTGTATTATGTTGTTCAACTTGATCCTTTGTTCAAAGTAGTTTGTGGAACAGTTTTATCAGAAGCTATTTCTTCTATCTTCCATTACTAAAACTTTAAAACATCATGATCAAATATAACTCATGTAATTGTTTGAATGTTTTGATTTAATCTCTCAACAAATACATCTTACGGTTGCCTCGTGATGATAGGTATACAATATCAGTACAAGATGCAGCTGCAGAGCTTCGCTCAAGCCAAAAATCTCGATTTGCCGTTGTACTCTAGTAAAAGAGAAGGCAAACCTCATGCTCTTCAATTCCAGGCTACAGTTACCATTGATGGGCATTCCTTTGAGAGTCCAGGGTACTTTAGGACTTTAAAAGAAGCAGAGCATGCCGCTGCAAAGGTTGCTTTGATGTCATTGTCGCTCGATGGTTTTCAAGAGGCAAGTTTATAGAGTAGTTCCAGTGCTATAAGAAATGCTACTACCCTAGTGATACAGGTTTTCAAGAGGCAAGTTTAGAGCACATGACGTACTTTGTTCCTATTCCGGTTCACATACCAGATAGTATAGAGTAGTTCTTTACAGTAAACTCATCTAAAAATTTCTTCCTCTTCTTCTTCTTCTTGTTTTTTTTTTTTTGTGTGTGTGTGTGTGTGGTGATGTGATGTGATAATGATGATCAATTATCATTGCTTATATATTGATGTGATTTACTGCTGAATTAACCATGGCTAGTTTTGCATTCATGTAGATTGACACTCACTTTTACAAGAATCTCTTGCAAGAGTTAGCTCAGAAGGAAGGCTTTACTCTACCAGAATTTCAAACAGTAAAATGTGGTCTGCCTCACAAGCCAACATTCTTTTCCAATGTGGAAGTAGAAGGAGAAATTTTCTACGGGAAAGGAGCAAAATCCAAGAAATTGGCAGAACAAAGTGCTGCAAAGGTTGCTTGCACAGTTTTTACGGAGCGTAAGTTGGGCAATCTTCTACTAATATCTATGTCATGGATTTTAACATACAGCATACAACAACTTTGTTGTGCTAAATTTTCTCTCTTCTAGATATGATTTTACTTATTTATTTACTTAATTTTTTTGTAGCGTATGCTATAAATTCTGCTTTCTGTTGATTATCTAGGTGAAAGATCTGTGATAATTATGACTTTGAAGTTTAAATTATATCCTAATGTTTTAGTTCACCTATTTATCGTATATTTCTATATATGAGTGTAAATATGCACTTATCTATCTATTCACACACCCTGATCTGTAGAGATGGTTTTAATATAATGTTATCCATTGCTATGCTCTGCCTTGAGCTTTCAATTCCCTGTTGTATCAAAACAACTTACTGATCAATTATTCATTTGTTCATACCTTTTCCTTGGGACAAAGATAAGAATAATGAACAGAATGAGGTTAAATTTTCCACAATAATTATGGTAGTTGGAGTTCAGTTATTGGATTGCTTGCTTCGTTGCGTTTACTTCACAAACTTGTTTGAAGATCTAGATGCTGCTAAATTGAATCATTCTCTCTTTCTCTGTGTGCCTGTGTTTGGTGCAACGAATTTATTAAACTCACGGTCCATTTCATTAAAAATATTGGCTTGGAGGAAAAACATAATAGTGCTTTGACAAGTTCAAATTTACTTCTTTTTTTTCTTTTTTTGTTAAGGTAAATCAACTAGGGGTGGTGATCTCAGTTCAAGTGGTTCCTCAGCAGGAGAAATGCTCAAATGCTCTCCTAGTAGCTTGGACTTGCTTACAAATGCCAATCCACAACAGAGCCTGAAACCTTTATGTTCAATGGGTTCATCTCCTGCCAAAGAAAATGAAGGTAACTCTTTTCCCGATTTTCATTCACTTCTTTTATCTCATATCTCTTTTAACACATCAATACAGACAAAAATATAGGACACAATAATTTTGAAAAAAATAAGACACAGATAAGGCAGTGATACGACAAATTCTCTTTATTTGCTATGTATATAGATATAAAGTTATAGTAAAGAAACATAAGAGGGATCAATGTAAATATGGATATATATATATATATATATATTTTGTGTGTTTTTTTTCTCCACTCCTCCCCCCTGGTTTCTATATATTTTACTTTATTAACCCAGTCCAACTTTCTAAAATTATAAAAACATATAAATTGTGAAATATTCCCAATATACCCTGCAAAAAAAATATAAATTGATACAGCACATGATGTGTCATGACGGATATGGTGATGTGTTGGTCATGGACACGACACTTAATTTAGAGTTTCCGTGCTTTCTAGTCCTAAACCTTCCTGAAATGGCAGTTGTCAAAATTTGCACCAAGTGTTTTATTATACAAGGCATTCGTAGCTTTCATTCATGTGTCTTGACAGGTGAAGAAATAGTTTCAACTCGAGATTTTCCAGTCCGCACCAAAGTAAGCTTGCAGGACACCACTATTGCATCTCCAGCATTATTAAACACTGAAGAAGCTCAATCCTCTTCAGCTAGGCCACCACCTCTTGACCTCTCTGCTCTGTCGATCACTGCTTCAAACAAGCAGAAGAAGACTGAGGAAACAAAGAGTTACTTACTCAGCAACAGGGTTAGAGTGTATACGTGCATTCCCAACATTGCATTCCCAGAGGGTACTGTACTGCTACCCATTGCCGACTGCAAATGGGTCGCAGTAAGCTTGGAATTTCCAAATGAGAAAAATTAACTAAATTTGTTGGCTGCTTATCTCATGGTATTATCAAGTTTAGAATTGCTGACTTTAGTTTTAGTTTTATTTTTATTTTATTTTTTTTTAAACTGAAGAAAACACGTTTTCTACTGGATTGGTCATACATCTATGCTCTGAAAGGGGTTAAAGACTTAACTTTTCAGGTTTAAGTAATGTCATATCTGAGATTGACTGTCTGCTGGACCTGTGTTAAATAAATTAATCTTACAGGATTTCTAACAGATAAATTAAGCCTCTTTTGGAAATTGACTTCTTAAATTTTTTTAATATTTTTTTTAGATAAAAAATTAATCAACTTGTTTTGTTTTAATTTTCAGAAAATACTTTTCAAAAAATGAATTTTTTTAGTTATATTAAAAAAGTGAATAACTAGGGTACGTAATTTAATTTTTTAATAATTTTAAAACTTTCAAATTAATTTTTTAATAGCTTTGACTCCCTTCATCATTAGGATGTGCAGAGCACCCTTTTGATTTTAACTTTTGAAAATATATTAAGACTATTAAAATATTATACCTAAATACTCATTTTCACTCTCTATTTATCATTTATATTTCTGTTGAGGACAATACTGCAAATTAACCAAACTATTTCATACTCCATGCCGTAAACCTTTTATTTGTATTTGTAAAGAAAATACAAAAAAGAAATTAGTAGGCAACGTTATATCTATTTATAGAATTGAGATTTAAGAGTTTTGGCCATAATTAATTTAGCTTTATCTTCAGCATCTTTAAAATTGAAAATAAAAAACATAGCATAGAAGGTATATTTCTTATGGCATCAACTCGTACATCTCAAATACCAGAAGTATGTGAGTTTATCCACATCGCTCCTAATTTTGTCTTAATCGCTACCATAATAATAATAATAGTAACAATAACAATAATAATGCATCATAAATCCAAAACCAAAACTATCTCAATTACATGAAATGTTCCGATGCTTGAGTATGAGGCAGTTTAGGGTTTCATCTACTCCACAAAAATATCCTATGCACCTTAATGAACTTACATGTATATGTACAAAACAACAAAATAAGCAACCATACACTGAGATCTTACAAAATTAGAAGTATCTAAAAAGAAGAAGATTTCCACTCATCAGGCAGTTGTGGGGTAGCTGTCAAATAAGTACATTCATAACATTGAAACTGATGAACTTCCGGGGCATAGACTGCATCAAAACAAAAATAAGTCAATTCAAAGGTAGAAGCATGACTCAAATTTATAAATTGTGTGCAAATAGAAGCTCCTCTCATCAGTATGACTGAAACACCTACCTCTACTCAAATGCTGGCATGTCATATCATTATGTATGGAAACCACATCTAACCAATTCATTTCCAAGCATGTTAATAACAAGAACTAGATTACGAATTCTAACCTCATTAAGCATTGTGAGACTGATCGTGCTCGATAAAGTCCAAAGCTTCTTCCTTGGTGACAACATTGACATGGCTAACCCTGTTTTTGTGTGTCACCCCATATATCTTGTCAGCAACTTTCACAAGCTCTGGCCTGAACGTTGTGGTGATGAACTGTGTATTTGCCATGTCTGCCAAGCGACGAATCATATCTACAAACAAAAGGTTAAGGATCTCCTACTGGGAAAAAAAAAAGTATGCAAAAAAAGATTTATAGCCAAAAAGCAATAAATCAATAGGATATATATGAAGCAACAAATCAACTGAACAGATTTAGGGCAGTCCACAAGAACTATTGTATCAGTTGAACTTGAACCCATGAAAAATTATTTAAAAAGGTGGACCAGGACTTGAGCGGATATATATATATATATATAGAGAGAGAGAGAGAGAGAGAGAATGCAAGAAACAGTGAGAGCAATAGGATACTCCCAACAGCAGTTCTGTACTGAGGATCCAATGCTGCATCTATCTCATCAAAAAGATAAAATGGAGCAGGATCACATCGCTGTATAGCAAAGATCAGTGTCAATGCAACCACAGTTTTCTGACCCCCAGACAACTGCTTCATCGATTGTGTCTCCCCTTGCCCAGTAAAAGAAACCTGCATATCAAGCCCAACAAAGGCAACACTGAATCAGATTTGCTCAATGAACTAGAATAATAGGGCAACCTAATTTCAAAATTAAGAAAATTCATTTAGCCTGCTTTGCAATCAGAATCCAACAAAAAGAGACCATAGCGTTGGCTGTTGCCACAATCCATTTAAGGAATTTTGCCTGCTTTATAACACCAGCCACATATGATTTTGCTTACTAGAAGGAACACAAATCTTTCTAAATGAGACTACATGCCTTGACTTTCACACCAATATATTTCTCCACCCTTCCCTCCATGTCAGGTGCACGAGGGGCATCATCATCCTCATCATCATCACCATGATCACCATCCTGTAAAATGAAACCAAAACCCATTTAGGAAGTAGGTTTTAAGCCAGCAACTAAGATGAAAGAAAGCTGTTTAGGAGTATAGAAGTTGAGAAGCAACCTAGTATTTAAATGACAGACAAGCAGATTGGCCAATACAGTGAACAAGACTGTGTTTTGAAAAGTAAATACAAATAACAAACCTTCTTCTTCATCATAACCAAAAATCCATGGCCACCTTGCACAAGCTCAGAAAATACTTCTCGAAAATGCTTAGCCACGCCTTTGAACGTACGTTCTATGGACTCATCCTTCCGTAGATCCAAAACAGATATAAGTTCTCTAATTTTCTGCCAAAATCAATACCCAACCAAGCTGAACATATCAGAACTGGCTTAAGCTTGTACCACTAACTATAACTTCAAAATAAGATATCTGAATGATTAGAATTCAATTCAAGTACCTCATCGCCTGCATCCAATTCAGCTTGCCTTTTCTGGAGCTCTTCTCGCTGTTCCGTGAAGTTCACATATTGATCAAGTGCTTTCTTGTTTACATGGCTGAACTGCTGTAGCTGCTCATTGCACCGGTGAAGCATTTTATGCAATTCTTTTATGCTCCTCCTTTTGTACCTGTAGTTCACAGAGAGAGAAAACAAATATATTCATAAAAGTGTAAGTGATAGCATGCAAATATGGGTCAATCACCTCTATGTAAACTACTAAAGGGCCAACAACAGAAACACCACATTCAGATATTGTCAAACAAACCAACTTCTACATGGACTTCTGCAAAGAATCATATAAGGTTTTTTCTATCCTGACTCAATTTAGTTTAGATATATTCAAAGCTGTTAGAAGTGTAAAGAAACAATGGAGGCCCTGGAAACAAATTACTATTCATAAAATTAATGCAAGTGAACCGCATTCTCAGGGTTGAGCACAGCTCCTTGATCATTGGCATTAGATAATAGTTTTTAGATTTTTACTAATCAATTACAGGCTACCATCTATCTGGTATATCAAGCAACAAAAGTAGATAGGAAATTTTTAGTTCATCATAGAATGATGAATTCAGAAGCCCATATAGGCTCAAAGGCACATCCTTCCTCTTGCAATTTCTTATGCTCAAACAACACTACACCATGAATATTTTCCTTTATTCCATTTCTTTAAACACACAAACGAAGAATATTGTTAAGTGGCTGAGGTCAGCCTGCAAGGGAAAATGGTAAAACATGGTTGGAGATCACAGGAGGTGGAGAAGAGAGGCAAGGCAGTTGTAAACAGATGATGGAGCCATGGGGAGAACTTGAGCTAGACTGAGGGCTGAGGCTTTCTTTTGTCATTTGTGCATGGGGTTGATCACCTTTTTATAGGAGAGAAGAACCATGCAGGGGCAGCTCATCCTAGACAGGTGGCTTGTCCTCCTTGGTTCGACAGTATTTCCTTTGCTTTTTCACCTACCCTCTTGATTTCTTGAATCAAGTACAGATTATGACATTTCAAAGATTTAATTGCCAAAATAGGCCACACAACAAACGAAAGATCCTTGGACGCACAAAAACACACACACAACATACAGAGTGTTTCCAAGGCAACCTTTCTCCCTTTACAGGGTAAGGTATACTGTTCACAGCACTCTAACTGCTTTGGTGTGTTGTACATTGCCCTGGAAGCAGGGTTTACTGCTTCAGCAACAGCTGTGGCCAGTATCATACAAGTGCAAAAAAAGCTTTAAAAAAAATATTAAAAAATTAGACAAGGCCCAAACTTAATATATGATTTATCATGTCCAAATTTTATATTTCCTTATCAGCCAACATAAATATATGAAAACCATGGTCTGTATCCACTTCATTAATCATAATAAAAGAAATATATTTCAGAAAAGAGAAATACGTTTCAAAGGCATCAGATGATAATGGGCCCAATTCCCTGATTTTCTTTGAGTACTCTTCTTGTTTTGCAAGAAGAATATTTCTTTTACTTAACAATTGCTCCAGCTCTTTAGCTTCATCCTGAAGTGTCCTCTGGTAGTTTTCTTCCAAAGTCTGCATTCGTGACAAATTATCTTAGCAGCAACAACAAAAACTAAGAATCAGAAGCTTAAACATATAAGAGAGAACACCTTTAACTTATTCTTTTCATCTTTGATCTTCTTGAGTTCCCTTGTGCGCTCCTCAATACTTTTGGAAACTCCTGCACTAAAAAAGTTTAATCAAAAGACAATATGAAGAACATTGATATTGGAAATTGCATGGAAGCAGTCCAAAGTTCTCACTTTTAAGCTGCTGTGTCACATCTTCAACAAGTAGTCTGGCATCTCTTAGTTCCTGCCTCTTTACTTCAACTTCAGTGAGTAACATGTCACTCTCTCCAGACAATTTTACTGCCTCAAGTTCTTGTTTTCGCCTCACAAGGTTTGTTGATAGATTAGTCTCAAGCTCTGCTTTTCTTGTTTCAGTCTACCAACGAATTGCATACATAAATGAGAATGAGAATGAGAATGAAAAAGAAAAAACAGCATGCATTTGAGCTTTACATAATAAACTCAACTAGGTCTAATTAGCAAACCTCTATGCGATTTGTCCTGCATGCAATTAGCGTCTCTTTCAGCTCAGTTATTTCAGGATTCAATCGTGAAAGCAAATCTTTTTCCTCTGGTGTTAGATGATCAACAAGGTCTGTGCCCATTTCATCTTGTTTCATAGAAATATTGGCTTTAAGCTGAGCAATTTGAGTCCGCACATTTGCAAGCAACTTTTCCTACAAGCATATAAGCATCAAAGAATTAGAACAGCCAAATTACAAATAGTAATG